CAACCATGTTGAATGGTTAACACAGAAGTATCAATAATGCTAAGGGTCCATTCTGAGCACCCTGTTTCAGAAAACTAAGATATTTAGAAAGTAGTGATTATGACTCCCTAGTGAGTACAAAATTACATATCACATTTGCAGCTTCATTGAGAGTCATGTGCCAGGCCATGACTTAAACTATTCAGAATAAATTTTTTACTCAATTCTTACCCAACGAGACAGGTAATTTTAGTCCTGTTATATTGACGAAGAAACCAAAATTCAACTCTTGTTAAGTCATTAGTTAATTAGGTTATTTATTTAGACAAAATCTTGCTTTGTTGCCAAGGATAGAGTGCTGTGGTGTCAGCCTGGCTCACAGCAATCTTAATCTCCTGGGTTCAAGTGATCCTTCTGCCTAAGCCTTCCCAATAGCTGGGACTACAGGCACCCACCACAATGCCCAGCTAACTTTTCTATATGTCTTTTAGTAGAGACAGGATCTCACTCTTGTTCAGACTGGTCTGGAACTTCTAACATCAATTGATTGTCCTGCCTCAGCCTCTCAGAGTACTAAGAACACAAGAGTGAGCCACCACGCCCAGGCAAGTCATGCAGTTTAGAAATAGAATTTGGTTTGTAATCCCAGCACTCTGGGAGGCTGAGGTGGGTGAACTGCCAGAGCTCCCAGGTTGAGACCAGCCTGAGCCAGAGTGAGACCTCATCTCTAAAAATAGCTGGGCGTTGTGGCGGGCACCTGTAGTCCCAGCTACTCAGGAAGAAAGAGAATTGCTTAAGCTCAGGAGTTTGAGGTTGCTGTGAGCTATGATGCCATAGCGCTCTACCAAGGGTGACATAGTGAGATTCTGTCTCAAAAAAAAAAAAAGAAAGAAATGGAATTTGGACCAGTTATGATCCTGGGGCCATAGTCTTAATCATTATGCTCTATGGACACTGTGAGAGAGTAACTGAGTATTTCACTCCAGCTACGGTATCTCCCCAAGACACATCTCTAATAACCATGAAGTTCCAGCTTCTGGAAGTGCTTCTCTCTTCCCCTGAGAAGTACTAGATCCACACGGTATACCGTTTCTTACACAGCTTGCCTTCTCCTGCTGGGAATGTTTTTTGGTGTTGAAGGTTGTGGGGAGTGGAGGTAGGGGGAATGTACTATTGAAGTGAAATAGCTATTACCAACATAATAAGTATTCCTTTCTTTGGGCCTCAAGACATTTTGCCTCTGACTCTTTTGTGATGATATAATTAGTTTAACTCTCAAAAAAATAACTTTATAACCTGCTTTCTAACATTGCCTCCGATGTTCTTTCCAAGGTGTGAGTGTGTTGTAATTTCTTTTTGTAGGACACCTACTAATGCACCAATTCCTACTCAAAAGTCACTTAGCCCAGTTCGCCTTCCCTGATTCTCTACACCCAAAGCCCCATACACAATGTTCTCTCCTGCAGCACCCTGCCTCACTCAGAGCCCTCCTCAAACATGCTCCACACTGTGCGTTTCTGCCTATGTATCACGCTAGGTTTAAGCTTGTGAATACTCATAAATGACCTAGCCACAGGTAAGTTTTATTCTTCACACTGTCCATCCCTAGACATTGTACTTAAGAGACACATGAAGGAATAAGGGAACAATTTTCCACCATTTCTCCCTGTAAAGAAAAAAGGCAAGACACATGGATTCCATCTCCAACCTCCCTTCCCCTTACTCGGGGTGGTAACAAGACCTTCTGTAGAATATTTGATTTCTGTCTTCATTTCTAACTGATTCCAATAAGAATACCTTAATTGGGTGGCGCCTGTGGCTCAAAGGAGTAGGGTGCCAGCCCCATATACCAGAGGTGGTGGGTTCAAATCCAGCCCCAGCCAAAAAAAATAAAGAAAGAAAGAATACCTTAATTTACGCAATAGGATAAACTTAATGAGATTTCTAATCAGTATAGTCCTATTGCTTTTGGAAACAGTTACAGATAAAATATTATTTTTGTCTCTTTTTTCCTTTCTCTGAATGCTACACCAAGAGCATTTCAGGAGGTTGATTTTCTGGTACACAAATAGCACTCAAAATACACACCTATATCTCACTACATAAAAGCACTTGGGCAAGAGACAAATCCCCCCCCCCCCAGGAGAAAGGGGCCGAGTGAATACACAGCACTTTGCTGGGTGCTGAGTGTAAACAGCGCACGGGACCTGTGCTTACCAGCACAGCTGAGATTACAGTCAAATTTATTCACTATATTTAAAAAGCCTGGCTATTCTGTAAGAGTCCCTACTCCTCAATCAATTCTCACAGAAGAAACTGCAATCATCTCTACAGCACTGACTGTGTGGCATTATTTTGTCTTTTAAAAGCACCATAGCACTGCCCAGGTTTCCAGACTCCTGTGGCAAAACAGCCCTCCAAATATGTACACCGTGTAAAGGTCATTTGACATGCTGACTCTCTCCAACTGAAGAATTTCAAGCAATCATATTAAAGTGAGGCTTATACACAGCAGGAAAACCCATGAAACTTCGAGAAAGAAACTTTAAATAAAGTATTAGGCTAAGAAAAAAACCCTACATTTTGTCAAAAGCATAATCTCAATCTCAGATGGGACTTGACTTCATTTTCATACATCTTAATGGACGTCTGATGAGAGTAAACATTAGGTGTTCCTAAAATTAAAAAAAAGTTATAGGAATACAGAATTAAATATGTAATATTATCGCTTTATTGAAATGCTTTTAAGGAGCCTGCAGGTGTCATTTTTCTGTAATCTGTACAAATCTGACCTAAATACCATACGGTAAGCAAGGAAGATAAAAATGGGACAAAGTAGGTAATGAAACTATAAGAATACAAAATAAAAACAAGAAAAAAATAAATGTGAAGGTAATTATTCTAAGGGAGAAAACATCAAATATGGAATTTTCTTTATGCAGGGACTGTTAAAACATGAAGCAAGTAACGAAACTGTATGACTCATACACCCTAAACAACCTTGGGAGAGATAAAATGAATGAAAGAAAACATAATTTGTTTCACTTTCTTCAATGCTTCTTTTCATAATGGGGCTCCATTCAAGATAGCTTATGTATCTATAGGAACTGTGAGTTCAAAATCCACTACATAAATGGAAACGACAGGTCAAAAGCCTCATTGCGGATATTCAAGCAGTGGTAAGATAATCATTTCTCTCATTTCTATTTCTTATGAACAGACATATATAAATTTTATCCAAAGAAACAGAAGCAAATCTCTAAAACAGTATAAGCTCCAGGACATCATTAGACATCCTGAAACATGTAACCTTAGCAATACTTGAACAACTCTCTCAATTAACAAAGATCATTAACTAGAAATTTTGTCTTCTTCAGGGAGACTGAATTTGTTTCAAATGTTATTAGAAATTAATTTCTATAGTGCTTGATGATAAAGGGTGAGCAAATCACAGCATATGCATTTATCACTAGCAACACAAGCATTTTCTTTAGTTAGTTTCACAGAACTAACAAAACAGAGGGAATCACAGTCAGTCATATTTCCCTGGGCCAACATACGAATTGTGTTTATTTGGTTTTAAATGCCTCTTTGTTGTAAAACATACTGCAACCATACTTTTAATATACAACCAACAAAATCCAAGACTTGAAAATACTTTTTTTTTCAGATCCGGATCACCTCTTATAAAACAAAAATTGGCTGGGTGTGGTAGCTCACGCCAGTAATCTGAGCACTCTAGGAGGCCAAGGCAGGAGGACTGCTTGAGCTCAGGAGTGAGTTTGAGACCAGCCTCTTCTGTCTCCACTGAAAGTAGAAACAATTAGCCTGACATGATGCCACGTGCCTATAGTCCTAGCTACTTAGGAACCTGAGTT